ACACACACACACACACACACACACACACACACACACACTTCATCATCATCATCATCCAGCGAGTAACCTGAGGAAAATGTTGGTGTATAATACAAGTACGGTTTCAGCGTTTTACTTTGGATATCCAAAAACAAATGTAGGGGTTGTGGACACACTTCAAACATTTCTCCCATTTTGGAAAACGCCTTCCCTCTGTGTAGATCATACTGTGTGTCCCGGTTTTAAAATTGTATCCCTGATAAATATTTTTGTGAAAAATATAAACTTTGAGAATGTCTGCAAACCAGTTGCTCCCATTAATGTATAGAAGTCTGAAGAAGGGCCGGTGTCTGGAGCCTTACTTAGCTGGCAGGTATATCAAAAAGGTTTACAGGAGGATCAACTGACGTGTAGACATTCTTCTCGGTGTTTATCATGTTTTTTTACGCTTTTGTGCACTTTTTTTTTAACGTTTGACCATTAACATCGACCATAAAATTAGGTCCCCATCACGGATCCTGGCTACACCTGTGTTGTTTGTCAGACACACACACTTACCCCATAAAGAAACTCACACACTTTGCTTCACTTACTCTAGTGCATATAACTATGGATAGACCTGTGAATCAAAATTGAACCCGAGTACTTGTTAGCACTTTAGCCACATATCTGTGAAGCCTGACAGATCATTGCAACTGGATACTGACCTCTGACAGGATAGTGGTATCGTAAGAGGGCTGGTACTTTTCTTTCTCTTGAGCTGTGCGTTTCTCCATCTTCTCCCGGTCTGTCTTTTGCTTTCGGTCCGCCCCCTTTGGCTAAAAAGTCAGCAGAGGGACAGATGTACTTGCTGTGAGGGCTGACACATGGGGTACCAAAGAAATAATTTCGGTCAGTGTGGAGATTTCCTCTATGAGACGATGACTGCATACCTTAAATACTTTGATTTGGCAGGAGGCGGAGTGGAGGTGTTCTGTGTACTCTCCATTGTCTCCCAGGGCGAACGTGTCAATCTGGATCCTAAAGGGGACGCCCTTCTCTCCGCCGTGTTTTCTGGGAGTGAACTCTGTGCTGATGCAGTGCACCTGCAGACAGGAGATCAAAATATGTGTTTGATGTGGAAATTCAGCGGCACACCCAACAGATGGCACAGAGTGTGTTGGTGGGTGTGTGTGTTTTGTGTTGGTTAGGTTGTACCTGCACAAAAACAGAAGTCCTTTTGTTCATGTCCCACAGGAACTCTGCAGCGTTGAGCTGGGAGGGGTGAGTCTTTGGCTCCACAATGCCCACTGACATGGGGATATCTTTCCCGAAAACAAAACAAAGACACACACATACATTTAAACCCCAAATCACACAAAAGGATGATTAAAGTAAAAAAGTCTCGCCAGGCGTCATTACCGATGTCAAGGAGACGGTCACCAGGACGATTCCACTTCCAGCCCTCCAGCTGCTGGTGCTCTGTGTACTGCAGCCGGCGATCGTGAAACACCACTCGCACTGTGCTCTACACACACACACATTTAGGTACAAAGTGTACTTGATGTAATAAGTAAACGTTTGTCCTCCAGCTGAGAGGATCCTCTCACCTTCACCATCTTGTTGTTGAGCTCTGGTAACTCCCCTGCCTTCCTGTTGTCCAACATACGCACCTCGTAAGACTGGCCTGAGAGAGAGAGACACCAAAGATCAAGAGAGATAAAGCAACCCGAGGAAACTGTAAATGTAATATCTTCCTTTTACATTAATAGCCTCTCCAACGAGAACAGGCTTTGTTTGTTTTGTGGGAGTGGCTGAAGATAAAACCTTTCCACCAAATGGCGGAACTAAAATCCAAAACTATCAGGAGCAAAGAGTTCCCCAAGTGAATTTCTTTCTGATTTTTGACAACATCTGTGCCTCTGATAAACACTCCACATTTTGTGGACTTCTGGCATCTGTCTCCCTATCTAGCTTTTCTTGAAAACTTCTGGAAACAAAAAACCTTTGCAACAATAGACTTGGTTTGCTTTCATGTTTGTAGACATTCCTCAATTTATTTAAATCCTTTTTTGTGTCATTAAATAAGAAAGAAATCCATTTGTGCCAGGAGGCCAGCAGTGGCTGCCACTCACCTGAGCAAAGGTTTTATTCACAACAATTGTACTAATGTGTAATAACTTCAAGAAGTGATAATTAAATAATGGGTTTAGCCCAAAAACACACAGCTGGATTGCATGTCAACAAACCAGTTCAAATACAACTTTATAAGCAGTTGTTATGAGTACTGAACAAAAAAAGAAAACAAAATCAAATCAGGGGAAGTACAACCAAGACCTTGGAATGCAGGTACAGTAGGTATCTGTATTGTGTGTCTCACCTTGGTTTAGGTATGTGAGCGTCTCGTCATGCAGCTTGATGGCAGGCGAGGTGGCGGTGCACAGCACATACTGGAATGGGGGATTTTTGGTCTCACTTTCGGTCGGAAGGCTGGAGTCCTCCTGCTTAAAAATCGGCAGAGCCAGCACATCACTGAGAGAGAGAGAGTCAGAGAAGACAAACAAACAGAACGTCAGCTTGGAGATGATGCAAGAGTGACACGCAAAGAACAAAATAAATCCCCAGAGAAAATAACTATTGTGACAGCAGAAACTTTTTCCATGTTGAGCTTTATTCTGTGAAATGTGTTTAATTTTGACCCGTCAATCCATTTGAATTTCCCTGTGTCTGAAATTGAGTAAAAACTTGAGGCTTCAATTAAAACTCCAACATCATGTGGGATCCATCCTGATGGCTTATTAATCAACGGTGACCTCCTGAAATCAAAGTGAGACCCTGCCTTTGTTCCTCCAGACTGGATGTTCCTGTTTTCAACTTAGCAATTATTTCTACAAAAATACGTTAGGTGGTTTGTGTCGTTTACACTGTTGCATGCACCACTTTCAGGAAGAAAATACTTCTCCTCCTCATGGTGTGGAATTATTAAATGGATTGGCTTAATTTAGAATAAGTGATGCGAATTCTTCATCAATCAAATGGCTCTCGCATTACGTATGCATGAGGCCGATGTAGGATTAATGAACAAAAACACCCAGAGATAGCCTGAGCTGCTGACACATACTATCTCTCACACTTGGCAGCCACTCTAGACAACCAACCTGTCCTCAGCTCACCCTGACAAATGCTGCAGGAGTGTCAACGAGGGCGCAGTGTGCGGGTGAGTGCTCATGTGTAGCTCTCAGTGTCTGTGCAGGAAAAGGATCCAAACCACTCAAAGACAGAGAGATCATGGACTCTCATTACCTAGAAAACTTTCTGGCAGTTAGTCATGCGTCTCTAAACCTGAGCCCAAAAAACAACAGCTTGACAATTTCCAGACAATCCTGCCGCACCTTCCTCCAAACAGCAGCGAGCTACATTTATTCAGTCATCACCGCCTTTGGTTTTTTTCGCTGCCTAGACAGTGCCAGTCTGGGTGTCAAGACCATGTTGAGCCCCGAAGAAAACTACCTCTGCTTCCTGAAATCTGAGGACATGGCTCCACTGAAACATTCTGTTCCGACCAACAGCTGACTCTGGTGCCCAGCAACCCAGCCCAGCACCTCAGATAGCACTACTCCTGCAGCCAGTGACACCAAGCAACTCACACGCACACTTTTCCCTAATTGACACACACACACATGCAACCCATCACTTGAGGAGTGGTAAACTTAAAGACTTTCATAGGAGACGCAAAACCACGTCACGCCACGATAAAAGCCCGTCAAAGCAGATGGTCAAGGAGGCTGCTGATAAGAGGCGTGCATGAGCCTGGGAACTACGTCCTCTTGACGTCGTCACATAAATATCCACACCACAACCTATTACAAAATACAGTGCACACATAGCAAGGGTTACTAATTGAGCAGGTGGTTTATATTAGTACTTGTTTGATGCCAACAGAGTTATTCTTTAACCACCTCAAGAAGATGGCACAAGAAAATGTTCAACTCTGTTCACAGATTATCAACAAGGAGGACTGAGTAACAAGTGTTCCTCTGATTTATTAAACGCCACGTTTGGGAATATACACGGGAATCTCAGACTCTAGAGGGAAACATGAGATAAAGAAGGCTCTTGGTGTGAAATCATAAAACCTGAGTTAAAAATTCACAACAAATGTTTATAATCATCAGAAACACTCTGTTTGTTTTTACACACACACACACACACACACACACACACACACACACACACACACACACACACACACAAGGTCTTCAGAAACAAATCCAGAAAGACGTATTCTGATAACTGTCAGCTTGAGAGGCCAAAACAGGGCCTTTCCTTTCTCAGTCTTATCTTGAAACAAACAAAGTGTGGGTCACCAGAATCAGACACTGGTGCATTATCATGTATCAATGGAGAACACAGTCAAACGGTTTTTGCTAGGGTGCATGTAAGAGCCAGACCAAAAATCATAAACGTCGACACTGATATGTCGGTGAAAGGCTCAAATCGGCTGAGCATGCATTTGCTGCAGTAATCGCATAAAAGAAAAGTGTGTGGGGCTCCTGAAGCTTGATATCTTATGGAAATGTCAGATTTCAGCACACTGACATAAAAACAATACTGGTTGAAGCATCTGCTTCCACATCTCTCAGAAATGGAAATTTTGAGCATTTTCAAATTCACTGAGGTAGATTTTATGATTTGATCAAAATCACTGACCGGGCCCCTCTTTTGTGTGATTATTGCCAAATTGCTCGATGCAAAACTCCTGTCCAGAGTTGGAGAAGTTTCTTGATTCGCAGGAGGAAACATCCAATGAAGGACTAAGTAAACAAAAACAGGAATCTGACCTCTGTTAATAAATTTTGGTCAAAGTAGTGATGTTCAAAACCCTTGACTCACTGTCTTACAGGGAAACATGAGATAAAGAAAGCTGTCAGTGGGAAATCATAAAAACTGAGCTTATAATGAGAATAATCATCAGAAAGACTGTTTCTTTACACAGACACACACTAGGTCCTCAGAAACAAAGCCAGAGAGACCTTTTCTGATAACTGTTTCTCAGTGTTATCTCAAAACAAACAAAGTGTGGGTCCCTTTCCTATCACACACTCATACACACACACACTTTTAGTCTCCCCTTTACTTTGGTGTGGGGTTTCTAAGAAATGAATCTTCGTCCCTGATCACGGCTCCCTGCTCTACTCCAAATCCCAAAACAAAGAGAGGCCATCACAGACAGTACAAAGCGGATAACACACACAGAGACAGAGGGATGTGGATTTAACACTTCCACAGTGTGTGTGTGTGTGTTGTTCTCCTGTGACTACAGAGCTAACAAGCTGGCTTCGGTGCGTTGACCCTCGTCTCTGACCTCATGCTGTAGGCTCCAGCCCCCAGCTCCTGCCCGATGCCGGACAGTCTGGCATCGAAGTCGTGCACCAGCCCCGACTCGATGGTGGCGTCGTCCATCTTCAGCACCCAGGCCATCGGCCCCAGCTCCTTGTCCTCGGCTTCTACTCGGAGGGCCGCCAGCTTGCTTCAGGTACGAGGAGGTCGGCTAGCGAGGAAGTGGGCTCCGCAGCTTGTGGGTGACGCCGTGAGGGGAGGGGGGAAGTTACGCTGCTAGCCCGTTAGCCGCTCCCTGGCAAGCTAGGCAGGCAAACTGGTAGCTTTCCATAGAGACTGGGTGTATCGCCATATTCTCCAGCTCGGGGGGGGGGGGATTTGTCACGAAACCCGCTGCTCCACGACTGACGAGAATGTCTGCACCCAACAAGCTAGGAGCCGCTCAGCTACAAAATGTTGGTCGTGACTCAAGATGCGGGCTGGTTGTCAGCATGCTAACATTAGCTAACAGCTAGCTAGCGTCACAAAGGCAACTAGCGTTAATTCCGCATCGCCGCGGTCCGTCCGGGCACCGTGTTGGAGCGGGTGAGCCACACGTAGCTCCACGAAATACAACCAGAACAGATGTTTCAGTCCACACGCCGCATCCCACGCAACGTCCGCACAGCTGTTGCCAACCTAGCTAACAAGCTATCTAGCATCAACTTCACTGGCTCCGGATCAACTGTGCGGCGAAGCGCTACTCTCTGCGGGGCGCTCCCCGTGCCGTCCCCGGGCCGCTGTCCTCTTCTCGTCGCGGTGCGGGAATCACCGCAGCAGAGTCCCACTCTCCGAGTCCTTTAACCATACCCGAGGCGCAGCGGTTGACACAAGAGTAGGCATCAACATGGCTCCCCCTCGGCGGACGGACTGCCAGGAAGGATGCCAGGACGGGGTTCGGCCAATCAGGGGGCCGCCACCCGTGCCCCAGTGTGAGGGGACGAGCCAATCAGGGAGCTCCGAGCTGCCGTCATTGTGTCCCAGTGTGGCTGCGTCTTCACGAGCTGTAACACGGCTGCAGACACGTTGTCAACAAGGAAGAGCCCCACACTTTAGCACATGTGTCACACACTAACAGCCCTTCCACAGAAAATGACAACAACAACAACACAATCTATAATCTGACACACACACTCACTCAGGATCTCACCGTGGGTAAGTGTTGACTCCGTGTCTCTGTGTGTCCTCTCGGAAGTTTTCAGTGTACGGCTGCCAGAACAACATCGTGTCACACACACACACACAAACACCAGCTGTGGCTACAAATAACGACCCAGTCCGGTTCTGAGAGAGCCCACGCCGGAACACATGTCTGCTTCAGGTCCGCGGAGAACACGAACACAAGTCCCGTCCCCTTCCCTCCTCCTGGACCCGTCTGCAGAATTGCGCGTCCTCTGGTCAATTATTACCCACTGATCGGACCCTGATCGCGGCGCACAGTCGAGTCAAGTGTCCGAGTGGTGAAGTTTCTCCGAGCAGGGTACACACGCACGCACGCGCACACGCATGTGCAAGCTATTTCTGCTCCTCGGGAGAAGACCCGCCTCAGCTTGAAGGCGGACGTCAACACAGATCTAACATAGACCCTGCATGCTGCAAACATGGTGCAAACTTACCTACCAATATTGAAGACTAGGGGTCGATATATCAAATTAACACGACAAATGTCACATAGTCATTTATTGAAAGTTTAAAGACTGATTATTCTTGCTCAGAAGTAAAGGTTGAAACTTTAAAATGTTTTTATTGATATTGTTTAATTGACTCGACCTGAAAAGTCACAAGTGAGTAAATTGGTTTGATTCCACCTCAGCATGTAAACGTGGAGCCATGTCTCTCCCTCACCTCGGATACAACTGATATGTTTGGGAATTATTTTTGCAGGGACCAGGACTCTGCAGGGAGACCGGGGTTTTTACAGGTCAGACTGGTCCTGAGACCCTCTACAGCTGCACCTAAATTTACAGCCCATGAGAACAGATGCACACATGAAATTCAGCACCAGTTTCTCAAATATCTACGTTGCATAAGACACAAATGTTTATCTTTTGCTCTGCACGTCGGGGGAGGCTCACTTCATCGACTATTACAGGCAGTGAAAAATGTCCTGCTCTTCAATAAACAATTCATTGATTAGTAATTTAACAACAAATGAATCCTTCCCAGTTGGGAGGACTTGCTGATCTGCTTTGTCTTATGGGACAGTACACTGAAATAAAATATTGTGAGATGTCTTTTGGATTCTTTGATAATAAAACAAGTAACTTTAAGACATAAATTACCGTAATAAAGTGCTGGTTCGTATTTTTCATCAGTTTTTTTTTTTTTTTTACATTTTACAGCAAACCAAGGATCAATCAATAAGGGATAAGGGAAATGTAAAATTAATCAGTGTACTTATGACGCCATAATCACAGATTGTGGACGATGAGTTACAAGCAGTTCAGTCATCCTTCTTTATTCATGTAATTTGAAGAGAGAGATCAAGTGTGTCACAAAGTAAAACATTTTTTATTGTTTACTTGTTGATTTTCGTGATCAAGTAATTAATCTATAGACTTTAAAATGTTAGAAAAGAACAATAAATGTCTGTTGCAGTTTCCATGAGTCTAAAATTAGGTTTGTTTTGGATGAGTGTCTAGTTTTGCTCGACCACAAACCAAATATATTCAGTTTACAACTCTATAAACAGAAAATCACCTGATGTAATTTGTGTTTTCTCTAAAAGATTTGTTCTTCATCAAAACAGATACATTTTCTGTCCACTCACGGTTGAATGTTTGTTCTGACTCCAATTACAGCGTCTCACCGCAGGACTGATTCCTAGCTCAAAGATCCCAGAGGCAGAGATTATCATGATCTGTACAAGTTCTTTATTTTATTGTAAGCACAGCTTTGTAAATGCACAGAGGAAACACAACAGTGAAAACTAGAATGTTACAAGAGGAGGAAGGAAAGAAAGACACAATGAAGTGGAGGGGAGAGAAAAGGTGATGTGACAGTTTTTTTCAGAGCTGTAAATAATACATTTCTACAATTTTCTCAGCAGAGAAAAATAAGTATGAGAGCGATCGACAGACTACAGCACACGCAACAGAGAAAAAATAAAAACAAGGATGGGCACAGGTGCGTGCGTGCAACCTCCCCTGGGTGTCACTGTTACTGAGTAATCCTTTTTAATATCATATATAGATACATATCCACTATTTGATAATAAGCCATGTCCTGTCATACTTCATGTAGTAAAAGCAGCACGCACCCGTGGACTGATCCACGATGAGCTGGGAGAAATGGACGACACCATGGAGATATCTGAAAGGGCCAGACATTTTCACATCAATTTAAAACCTCAGTCGCATTATTTTAACTGTCAACAGGACCCAGATAAAAAGTTAGGTTCTTTTTTAATTTAGTCTCATGCATATCCAAGCACATGACGCCTCCTATACTTTGGGATCTGCCGATGTACTGTATCAGCTATGAGCAGGCATGATCCACATACGTTAGTCCCTGTGCTGGGTTGGCGGTCGTACCTGTTTTGGCTCATAAGCACCTTTTTGAAAGAGAGAACCTGTGTTCGTGTGTGTGTGTGTGTGCACGAGAGAAAAAAAACTCCAGATATTAAAAACAGCTGTGGTAAAACCTCATCGATTAAATCAAACTATGACACAATGCAAATTTACATTCCTTTCTACCTGGCCCCAGTTACTCACGGTTCACAAAGGAAACATAGACGGCACCGTTTGTTTGTCTCAGTGCTGTTTGATAAATATTACACCCCCTGGTTAGAAAAATGAAAACCATGCAGATGCACCTCTTCCTGTTGACATCAAGATGTTGTTCAGAGGAGATGCTGTTGTGTTCGTGTTATAATGGAGAGTGGACAGGACGGACATTTCATATCTTCATCCTTGAGTGATTTACTGAAAACCTGGGTGGAATTTCATGTCATTAAGTCTGATATCAGGGTGGAGAGCTCCTGACGATCATCTCCTCTGGACCACAACTTCCATCTTGCAGTGTGGCAGTAGATGTGTGAGGACTGTGTGTGCCTATGCTTGTGTGTGTGTGTGTGTGTGTGTGTGTGTGTGCGTAACTCTGCTGTCCAGAGTGTAAGTGTATGTGTAGATGTAAGCAGTTTGCTCATGGGAGAGTGTTAGGATGTTTTCGTTGTGGGTCTGTGTGGATGAAAGCACGGGAGCAGATGTTTCATGTTTGGTTGGCAGAGTTGCAGTTCTATGGTTGCCCTGTGGGAGGGGGCTGTGGGAGGGGGCTGTGTCTCCTATAGACCCTCAGAGGGGGGCTCGGTGGAGCCGGACTGGGCACGCTTAATGTACAGATTCAGCAGCTTCAGCTGTGAACAGAGAAAACAGGAGAGAGGGTGGACACGTCAATGTTTGTCTCTAGAGGCTGACACAACGTGTACGCTGAGGGACGAACCCATAAACAATGAACAAAAAAGATCTTGCATAGTAACATTCGCTGGGAACTACATGCATTGAAACTCGCAGAGATTCAAATGCTTTAACGTCAGGTCACCTTGCTGCTGGAGAGTTGGCTGAGGTGCGGTTTGAGGTCCTCTCCGATCACTGCGTAAATGGCCACCAAGCAGAACACACAGGCTTTCCTCACACTGCTCTCAGAGTTGTCATAACCCTGTTCAAACAGATACGACTGATTACAGAGCTGCAGAAACCTTTGTTTTACACATTATATAAGACATAACAAATAAGTATAAGATTAAAAGACTTTCAGCTGAGTCCGTTACCTGTATGAGTCCTGGCACGATTTCTGGCAGCAGGCTCATCAGGCCCTCTCTGGGAATCCTCTCCACCACTTTGGTCTGCATCTTGATGGCAGCCAGGTTGATGGGGTAATCGGCTGATTGGATGATGGGACACAACACCTTGATACACTGGTCTGGACTGATGGACAATGCCAACATGGCTGCCGTCTCCTCTGCTGCTCGCACCACCTGAAGAAATGCAATTCAAATTTACATTGAAGGTGAAAAGAACAGTTTGATAATCGCAGATGATGCCACAGAGGTTTCTTTATTTGGATCCAATATGAACTAAAACAACCTTTTGTACCATCTCTTCATGCTCTCTGAAGTTCTCCTCATTGAATACTATTTTTAATGGAGCTGATTTGTGTGTGTGAGTAAACGCACCTCCTTGTGAGGGTCTTTGTGAGACTCCAGGGCCTTCATGATGGTGAGCTCTGCGTAGTTCTTGAACCTCCAGGGCTGCTTGCAGAGAATCTCCCTCAGCACCCGCAGAGCCAGTGTTCGGATCACATGCTGAGAGAATAAAAAACATTCATGTTTAAAGAGAGATTTGTTTTGTACACAGTGTTATTACAGACTCGACGTGAGTGTGGCTACCTCTCTGTCCCCCATCGTCTCGAGCAGGAGCAGCAGGATGGTCTTGAAGTGCTCATCCCACACCTGCAGGGTGTTTTCGCGAATCAGCTTCAGCAGTTCACACAGCGCTGCCTTCCTCTCCTCTATGCGCTCGTTGTGATTCGACAACTCCTTCAGCAGCTCGGCCACCAGCTCTGACTGGTCCAGACTGCTATCTGTTAATGGACAATAAATAACATGTTTGGTTCATATTACAACTTTGTGTAATACAGTGTGTGTTTTTTTTCTGTCAGATTGTGGTTTGTGTACCGTCAGTGAGAAGCTCGGAGTCGTCCAGGCTGGTGTCTTTGCGGCTGTGTTTGAAGGGGGAATCAGAGAAGTGCTCGCGGGCTCCTCTGGGGCTGGAGGAGAGCAGGGGGGTGTTGAGGAGGGAGGTCTTGTTGTCCAAAGCCATGCGGCCGCCGTCCATCATGTCTGATCCTCTGCCGTCTGTCCCGCTGCCACTCTGAAAGACATAGACTCTGATGTTACTGAGGCTCAGTCTCTCAGTTCAAGCCTGTAGTTCGGTTCATTAAATACAAATAA